ATTCAAATTCATCTTTTTTCTCATTAATCTACACTTAGTACCCCATAATGACAAAGTGAAAACAGAATTTTAGAAATGTCTGTAAATTTATTAAATTTATTATAGATTGTAGTATCAGGCTGCAACATAACAAAATTGAAAAAAAGTGAAGGGGGTCTGAATACTTTCCGAATGCACAGAAATGTCTGTAAATTTATTAAATTTATTATAGATTGTAGTATCAGGCTGCAACATAACAAAATTGAAAAAAAGTGAAGGGGGTCTGAATACTTTCCGAATGCACAGAAATGTCTGTAAATTTATTAAATTTATTATAGATTGTAGTATCAGGCTGCAACATAACAAAATTGAAAAAAAGTGAAGGGGGTCTGAATACTTTCCGAATGCACTGTATCTATTGTCTGAGCACAATCACAGAAATTCAATGCACAGTCTTTAACTAAATATTGTTAATGTTTATAGATAATGTTATAGATAATATTACAGGTAATATCTATTTGGAATGTGCATTATATTTATATTATTCATATTTTATACCATACTTTCAATTTATTTTCATAACTGGATTATATCTTTGAGATAACTCCTCTCCCTGATTTTTAATATGACCAATTTTTTTTTTTAAATAATTACATTCCTCTGATATCTGAATACTGAACATTCATAAGATACATATATTTATCCTTGTTTTATTTCATAAAAGAAAAGATTATCCCTCTTACAGGGCTTGAAAACTGCATTTAAAAATTACTGTACTGTAATCAATAACTTATAAAATAAGACCTATAGTTGGTTATAGCCATGTAAGCAGAAATTTTGGAAAAAATAAATCTTGTTTTAAAGACTTAGTGTTAAATAGACAATACTCTAAAATACTCAAATGTTATTTAGTCAATTGTAAATCCAATCTGGACTGGGACCAATTAAGCATGGTGCAGTGGAAGTTTAAATCTTTCTCCCTGGTCTCTCTCTTTTTTTTTTTTATTACTCTTCCCACGGCACATGCGACTTTTAAGAAAAATTCCCCATTAGCACCAAAGTTTTGTTCTTTGTCAAACTGCCTCCATGGAGGAGGTATCAGCCTTCTCTCTTTATATGGACAGTAGTTTCAGTCCAGATTGGGCTGCTGTGTAGTTACAATTAAGAAACTGGATCTGGACAACATGCAATTTGCATATCTAATTTAGCTCCTAGAAGAGAAAGGAATAGATATAGCCGAAGGGAAGAGGCAGTTATAACTTCTTCCTGCACTTGCCAGCTTTCCCTTGAAACTTTTTCAGTAGTCATTTCCCACCAATATACTTCAAGGAAGAGTTATTTTCAGAAGCTTGTTGGTAAAGGGAAAAAAATAATTAGGGAAAAATAACTTGCAAGTGAGAATCAAGCTAAGGAAGAATAAAGCACCTCCTTCTCATTTGACAAATTTCTCTTCAAAATTCTTTTCTCTACATTAGCATTTTAAGGGAAACATGGAACTGGAAATTTCTTATTTATCTGGCAATGTACAGTATAGCTTTGCCCAAAAGGAGATATCTTAAAATGACAGTGCTTCTAAATACAAGGGCTCTGAAGCAGAGGTGGACAATCTTTTGGTGGCCAAAACCTGCATGATGTGTAGGGGCATATCACGTATGTGAGGAGGGTCAGGTTTTTTGTAGAGTGTCCTTCTTTTTAATGTGATATGGCAATTGTACAGCTTATAGGATCACTTTTATGTATTCTTTCATCTCAAACTGATAGGAAAGTCTGCAGTCAATTCAATTATTAATAATTATGTTCAGAGTGTTCTCCAAGAATTAAAAAAAAGGGGATGGAGGGCAAACTGCCCATGCCAACTCTAAGCGTCTACCACTAAAATAAAGAGACACCTGGAAATTGTCTATTGTTGCAGGAAGCCTTGTACTGAGCCTTTTTATAGTTGTATCTTTTCAAAGTATACATTTACTTTAGAGTTCAGTATGGTCTTCATTCTTTGCAAATCTTCAGTTTTCAACTTCATATCATCAAGATCATTCTGACATTTACTGAGTTTCTCAAGTAGAATCTGTCAAACAAATACGAAGCATTATTTCATATTTTCTTTTATTCATGTTTTATATTTTATAAATAAAATTTGATATTTGAAAGCATTAATAAGTTGTATTCTTATATATAAAAAGATAAATAACTTTAATGACTGGGAAATGTGTTTCAGCAGTGTCATTCTTCATTCAGTAAAAGCTGAGGACCAAGACTAGGTGTGCTTGACCTATATAAGAGAAAGCCACAGTGGACACAGACCTTGCTCTAGATGAGTGGACCTGCAAAGGGCTGAGGTAGCAGAAACCTTTCTAAGACATGTGCAAGACGAACAGATAATCCAATGTGCAATCCACTGTAAGAATGTTGCTAAGACCTTTCTTGCCTGCTCATAGTTCATAAACAACTACTCTGATTGTTGATTTGTTTGTTCATGTGAAAATACAAAGTTCTTTGAAACTCTATGGAGTAAAGGACTGTGTCCAATGGCATTGCTGAAGCCAAAAGAAACACTGCCAAGATAATGCCTTAATTAAAGTGAAAACCAGAAACAACCTTGGGAAGAAACTACATATCTGGGAATAATACCACTTTTTATTTGTGGAAGGATATAATTAATGGGTTAAGAGGGAGAGCTGCTACTTTACTTGCATGACAGGCTATCGTAACTGCCAGCAGAAAGCTATTTTCAGTGTGACAGCTGCAAATTTGAGATAGCTAAAGGCTCAAAGAGCTTGCTCATTATTGGTAACAGAAAACTTAGATTCCATGAAGGAAACACCAGCAACCAATGTAGACATAATTGAGTCACTTTAGAAATGTTTGATGAGAAAAAAAAGGATAAAATATTGAATTCTGCTCAGCTGGAGCACGGAAGGCAGACCTTCAGGGAAGATGATGGTAAGCTTCTGGAATAAAGAGACAAAAATGTAAAAAGTACAAGGAAGGGAGTTCCCAGTGGCAGAAAGCCTTGCAGAAAAGTGGAAAACACACACCACTTTGCTCTGTATGACTTCTGTGTTACTGCCTTCCAAATTTTGATTTTTTTTTTATTAACCCAAAAGGAATGCATACAGCACAGTCTCAACCAATGAATGACATCTTCTGGGGATCAAAAGCCATGGCCTGCTCCAGTGCAGAGATCATGGGACAAAATATTTCATGGTGATGCAAAAAGGGTATTTATCCCAGCAAAAAAGCTGGCAAGCAAATGGAAGTCATGAATTTTTAATTCATGCATCCCCTTCAGTGTTCGAGAGAGATAAACCACAAGAATATTTCCCATTCCTTAGGATGCATCCATCTGTTCCACATATCCAAGGTGAAAAAGAGATGACTACAAGATTTAATTCCATCTTGCTTATTCAACTAAAAAGAACAGCCATAGAATATAAATAATCCCTTGGAGAGGAAAATTATTACTTGGGCCTATAAGATCACAGAGGAATGATCTGATGAAGTAGAATTCCAAGGCATAGCCTCAATATATTATGGTGGAAACCCAATGCCATGTATTTATTTACAGCTTTTATAGCTTTAAATTCCACCTTTCTCCAGGAATTCAAAAAGATATATATAGTATTCCCTCCAACTTTTCCTCAGAACAAAAACCCTATGAAGTTAAATGGTCCAAAGTCATCCAGTGAGCTTACATGATTGATAATGGACTTGAATCTCAGTCTTCTCAATCCTAATCCAGCACCTTAACTATCAGAATTAATTGGCTATTTTGGATAGATAAAACATTGGTAAATAGTGGCATAGGCTAGAAACCAGGAAACTGTGAGTTCTAGTCCTCCCTTAGACATGAAAGCCATCTGGGTAACTTTGGGCCAGCCACTCACTCTCAGCCCAACCCACCTCACAGGATTGTTGTGGGGAAAATAGGAAGTAAGAACATTAGTATATATGCTGCTTAAGTTGACAAAAAATAAAGGCATGAAATGAAACGAAACGAAACAAAATGAAATGAAATCTTTCCATCTCTTTGTAAATGTCCAAGGCTAGTTTCATTTTTAAAAGAAGTTGAAAATGGGATTTCATTATACTTATTTGGATAGCATGCAGTTTTTACCATTATAATTATTAGCAATGGAATTAGAGGCAAATATAAGCACCTAGAATTTATTCACAGAAAAGTATATCTACAGTTATGCATTTTGTTAGTTCTTAAACCATTTAGAGAGAGAAAAAAAGTTTGACATAAAGTTATTAATGTTTACATATACAACCACTGATTTTCAAAATACTGTAACTTTTTCCCTGCTAAAAAAAGATGATCCAATAAATTATAGATGATAGAAATATCAAAGAGCTACACAAATGTAGCCCCTGTTGTTCAGAAAGGTTTACAGAAGTAGGATTTGAATAGGGATTTAATGGAAGGACAGAGAGATGAGGCAGAGAGTGAAATGGCAGACAGAAACTATATGCTGTTAATATTTAATATATATATATATATATAAAATATAAATTGACCTTTATACCTGATTTTCCTGCTTAAAGTCACAAAGTTGTTCCTTTAGCTTTATATTTTCCCGAATTAATTTATCTTTCTCCCTGCCAGTTTGATTAAGCTCATTATTAGCACCATCTAACAGGTGGTGTAGTCTGTCAATATCTTGTTCACACTTGCGTAATGCTTCAGTAGAATGCCTATGTAACAATTTTTTTAAAAAAAAGTCACACAAAACTTTCACATAAAATATTAGTAATCCAAAATAAAAAAGACTGACACAAACTCTCCTCATAATACTAATTCTACATGGATAAGAGTACTAACAACTATGAATACAATGTTATACTTCTTCCACAATATAAAGATGCTAGTTTAACTTAAAACAATTCTTTAAAACTGATTTCTATTTACAGCTTTTAAAACTGTGACACTTCAAAGCCCTTTTGATACTGAGGAATCAAATAGATGAAGTTATTAAATACTAAATCTAATATTATATATTAAGTTAATGCAAAAGTTTAAATGGAAAATCTAAATTTAGAATTCGGAATCTTACTTTGATGAATGTTCCATGTCAGAAAGAATACACTTCAAATCTGAAATTGTCTTCTCCTTGAAAATAAACAAATTAAAATTTCTCTTCAGTTAGTAAAAAGAGATGAATGAAACCAAAAAAAAAACAAACAACCCAGATGGTTCTTTTAATTAAGGCATTTTTTGGTAACATTTTTATAAGATTAAGAATGCAATAACATATAGATTTGCACAGCACATATTTTTCCACAATTATGGACCTATTATATTGGGAATAATAACTCCTGCTTTTCCTCCATGTTGGTTTGACAAGAATTAGAATCATACGTAGCTGCTTTGAAATGAAAAGAAAAAACAAACACTGCACACAGAACCAGGTTCAAGAATCTGTCATTTAGAATCAAGCAAAACATGACATTTATCATATAGTTAGTGGCAATATCCAGGCTTTTAAAAATAATGTAGAGAGGGGAAAACTGGATCAACATCTTGTCACAGAGAAGTTTTTAATCCTTCATCTTCTGAATTAGTACCAACCAAATCAAAGCCTTGCATCTCTTATTTGCTACTGAGGCTCCCTATTTATGATATTTCAAGTAGAAGAGGAAAAAAAGCTTCTAATTCAATTTTCCCATTCCCTAAAATTTTTAGTACCACTGACTGGCACCTGAAGTGATTCTAAGTCACATTATTGCCAAAAAGCAAACCTGTTTAGGACATATAAAGGACTCATATAAGGACTCTTTATCTATCTAATTGGCTGAAAGAAAAATTCTTAATAATTGTTAATGAGATACCCCCTAACTCAATATGCACATGGGATAAGCCTAGTATGTACTTCAAGGACCAACATTAAAATCATAAGCAAAATTATTTTGGAGTCATTTATCAGAATTTATCAGAATTTGCTTCTGATGAAACATGCTTAAGTTATCCTGTTACCATTACAGCTATTATTATTTTGTAGAAATACTACATATAAATACTACATATTAATATATAGATATTGTAAAACCTAAATATTTTGGATATTGCTGCATTGATTTCATGGATATCAGCAATTTTAGTATTTTCCTTTTTTTAAAGAACTGAAGTTGGAAACAAGATCTGAAATAGTATCTTTGAGTCAGCCTTGCAATGTAGTACAGACAGGAAGCACACCCAGATGAAATAATTTTATTTTATTGTAAGGTTGCATTAACAGAATCTTGCAAATCTGAAAGTACATTTCTTCCCCATCATCTTTACAGCCCAAGAAACTAGGAAGGGTCCTTCTGAGACATTTGCCACACCCACATTCCTTCTGCCAGCTAAACTGCCTTTTATCTGACCATTCCCCTGGCTGTAGCTCTTCCCACTGTCTCCCAAGGTCATTCCCACATACCATTACACTTTGCCAAATTCATATAGTCAGCAGTATCTTTTCCTACTTAAACAAAAGTTGCAAAAAGGTTGGCACACATACGCGAGCCAGTTTGTATGTAGTGGTTAAGGCACTGGGCTAGAAACCGGGAGACCATGAGTTCTAGTCCCACCTTAAGCATGAAGCCAGCTGGGTGACCTTGGGCCAGTCACACCCTCTCAGCCCTAGGAAGGAGGCAATGGCAAACCACTGCTGAAATCCCGCCAAGAAAACTGCAGGGACTTGTCCAGGCAGTCGCCTGGAATCAACAATGATTGGAAAGCACCAAAAAACAAACAAAAAAAGAACTTGCTGGGTCACAACTTTTATCATTTAATATTAATAGGATAAACAAAGTGCTAACAGATTAGTAATCAAAGTGGATGTCCAAAACTTTCCATGCATAGAACAGCTGACTCTGGTGCTCCATGCTGAAACTGAGACATACATGTTTCAGGTTTTTTGACCCATATTGGTATGAAGTAGCGTTGCTTTGTTTCAAACACAAACTGAAACACAGTTGTTCTGGTAGAAGTGATCTGAGTGACTGTAAGTACAGGAAAAAGTGAAGGCTGAGAGGTTTCTTTGTGACAACTGAGGGGAGGCAGGTGATGAAGAGAAAGGCAAGTACTATGAATATTGGGGGGCAAGGATATACTGTGCTGGGATATCAATGACAAATGAAGGAGACTGTAAGAAAGGTCCTGGAAAAACTAGGGACCAGTGGTCGAGTGGGATATGCAGCAATGGGACATCAACAGATGTTGAGGGAAGGTAAAAGAGGGAGAGAAGCACTGAAAGTTGAGAGGTGCGGGGCCAACATAGAGGTCATGTGAAGGAAGAAATGGTGGGAAATGACATCAGCCATGCCCTACTTGCTCTATAAAATTACTCCAGGATCTATCCAGATTTTGTTTCAGCTGAAACCTTAAAGAGCCAAAACATTCTGGGTTTTGTTTCTGTTGAACAGCAGACAACTGAAAATGGATGGGCAGGACATGCAGAAGACGATGGTTTGTTCACCTGGAACAAAAGCTATGTTTTGTTTTGTTTTGTGCAAAGGCACTGAGAACACCTAAATTTAGAATAATTTGTTAGTCCTGAAGCTGTGGTGTATAAAGATTTTAGGTATTCTCAAATACTACAGAGATTATAATTCTGAACTAATCTTTCTTCATATTTTGGATAAATGTTTTCCAATAGTTACAATGACCAACTAGTTTTATTTTTTATTTACTGAGCATAAATATTATACCATGTGTTGCATAAAGGTAGAAATTCCTGGCTACAAGAATTGCCATTTTTTTAAAATGAGAAAAAAGAGGCTATTTTAAGAAAAGTTATACTGTTTTAATACTTCTTAAATAATAGTAATGTTCTGGGATCTAACAGAAATTTTTTAATGTGTACACAATTTACATATAAAGACACATTTTTTAAACAATCCTAAAAGGCACCAATAATCAGAATGTGAATTCACATATTTGCATATTAAAACAGGAGTATTCAATTATAATTCAATCCAATTTCTATTACTGTATACATACAATAACTCATACAATTAAAGAAAATATGAGATATGTTTTATTTTGATCAATATACATATACTACATGCTTTTAAAAACTATTTACTAAAGATAAAGTTTCCTCTGTAATTCACAAAATTATGAACATATAAAACACACTATTAATCAAAACTACAGATGCAGTCACATATTAAAACTTACTTTAATGGCCAAACTTTCTTCAAATGTAACCATTTTTTCTGTTTTTTCTTCTAGAAGCTCTTGTAAAGAATCCTTTTCTGAATCCAATTCAGCTATTGTTTCATTAAGAGAACAAATATCTCCTTGTTGATCAATGTTTTCTTTTGAAAGTTGTTCTGAAAATAAAATCATAAAGGATCATTTATGAATCAATTTAATATATAAGCTAATCAAACAAAGCCTCTCAGAAACACACATCCCACCTGGCCAGGGGAGGGGGGACATCAAGATGGCTTCTGTGCACTTAAAAAGGGAAAGAATTTGATCACATGGTTGTAATTGCCATCTTGAGTTTTTTGACCACTACCCCCTTCCCCCAGGGATGCTCCTGCATGAAACCAAATTTTTTGTGTAGAAGCGATGGTTTGGTGGTGTAGCCAAATTGCAAAACTGTTTTAAAGGATATTTCAATGCACTGTATAGATGGCTATATTTGACGAATATTCATAAACTACCATTTAAATTGCTACAACTAGACTACTAATGGGGCCCATTACTTGAAAAATACAGTTCTGTTGTAGCTTTATCTGCATTAGTTCAAGTATGTTTTTTAAGCCCAATTCAGAATGCTGATTATCACTATATAGTTCAGGCTTTCCAAGGAGCTGCCTGCTGCTATATATTTTTGATCTCCCATTAAAATAGATTTCCCCTCAAAAAGCCTGCTTGATTCTTTCCCACTAGCCACTTAGCAGCAAGTAAATATTTTGTTTACGTGTTTAATTAAAATTCAGCAAAAAAAAAAAAAGAAGTTAAATCCAGAAAGAATAACTACTAGAGATTGGTAACTTCCCACTAGCATTTCATAGCATCTTCTAGATTCATCTGACCATTGTTGTGCTAGAATATCTGTAATGAAGACAGACTTTGTAATATCACTGGTGATGCTGTTAGGTCACTAGAGGGGAGATGGTCATTGTTTTGTTACTGAGTTAAAATGACGTGGTAGCAACATTCATCAAATACCTTTAATGTTTAAGAAAGTGCAAGTACTTATGATCCATCATGGATCTCATAGTGACATCACTTGCATATCAGTTTGGTGGAGCCTTCTGGCAAGCCACAAGAGGCTATGCTGCTCATAGATTAACTATCCTGGCAGCAGACCCACAGACATTGTTAGTCAAATGGGAAAACAAGATGATAGGAAGCATGCATTTGTTGCCATAGCGATGAGAATACTTCCTTTTCTGTCAGCAAAGTATGACATGGTTCATCTCTTCTTTACAAAAAACCACCGATTAATCAAACTAGAGATGTTACTGAATTTCCGTCCCAACAGCCCCAAACAGCAGGGATCTGGGTTTTGGCAAGATCTACTAGAAAACCTATAGACAGTTATTCATAAACCACCAGGCACTAGCGAACAGATTGGAGGATTATTTCAGAGCTGTTCAATGAGAGAAGAGCAGAAGTCTAAGCTTAAGAAAAGAAGACAATGGCTCAGAAGATGATTTAACTCTTTTCCCAACAAAGGTCAGAAGCAATCATGGAGAAAGTTAGGCTAGCAGCTTAAAGCACTTGTAATGCCCTACTTACAGGTATAGATGCAAATTATTAATATTGCTATTACTGAATAGAAGGAACAATTGAAGAAATATCTTTTTATAAAAGTTATATTAAAGTTAGCATTCAAATATATATCCAGCAGCTGGATAGCATAGTGGTTAGAGCACCATCCTTTGGTGCAGGAGACTGGGGTTCAAATCCCAGCTGGTACCTACCTTACCAGTAGGGGTACTTGGGCAAAGACCCCCTAGTACTTCACCTGCCTACCTTGAATATGAGAGTGACACGAATTAAGAGAGTCATGCCAGCTCAGACGTCACATGGATTAACAAAGTCTGTGCCAGATGTTGGGGAACCAGAACAATCTGACAATAAGTGGGCTACTGAAACAAACCATACATGGACAAGACAAGAGAACCTGGAATTGATGGAATGCTACTACAACAGTAGACCTAATGAGATGGGATATATGAAACGTATGAGGGAACCTATGGATGGATAAAAGACCTACATCCACACTAACTGAGAAGCCACTAGTTACCCAATGCTTCAACATAGTGAAGAGGAAGCTGCTCTCACAACTTGAGGCAGACCAACTACACATTACATCCTGGACTCAAGAAGACCCTGAAGAACAACTGGATGTGGAGCCAACACCTGAAGCTGGAATGTCACTGTCACCCACTCCGTTACAGAGCACAGCAGCTGATAAGAGGCATAATATCAGAGATAAACCTTGAGACCAATTACCAAGGCTCAGTGAAGAAGTGCCATTGAATAGTATGCTAGAAGATGCCAATAGAGCCCTCACAACAATCCCAACTACCACCCCAACTCAAACCAGTGAACTGGTATATGGTACAGCCACTGTAATCCTGGAGATGCCTGGCTACACAATCAAGAGGAACTGCAGTATATACCCCCCTGGAAAATGAGGTTGGAGGCTCAGATCAAGGCAACTCGGAGAGAGGTTAGTCAGCTGGTGGAACTACAGAAGGGTGTGGAGATTAAAGACTTGGGTACTGAAAAAATACAAAGGCCTGACTCCATCTAAAGCCCTAGAGACTGCTAAACAAAGGTTCATAGCACTAGCTGCCAGGCTAAGGAGATACACTAGAGAAACAGAGGTCAAGAAGATAAATGCCCTGTTCTCCAAAGAACCATCCAAGGTGTACTCCCAACTGCAGTGCAACAACACAGTAACAGCAGAGCCACCAACAGAAGAGTACTGAAAGAACATATGGGAGAAAGAAAAGATATATAACACCAGTGCAAAGTGGCTGCAGGACCTGAAAGCAGACCAAAGCAATCTCCCAGAACAGGAACCAGTCACCATCACAGTAGCAGACATCCAACAGCAGGTCAAGAACATGAAAAGCTGGACACCACCTGGCTTGGACATGATACACACCTACTGGCTAAAGAAACTAACAGCAGTGCATGAACCCCTAGCAGCACAGATGAACCAGCTGCTAGCAGCAGGCTCCCACCCATGCTGTCTAACACAAGGAAGAACAGCGCTGAACATGAAAGACCCCCACAACAGAACAGCATCTACCAGCCAATAGCCTGCCTCCTCACAACATGGAAAGTCCTACCAGGCATCATAGCCACCAAACTACAGGACCATATGGGCCAATACATGAATACAGCTCAGAAGAGCATTGGGAACAACACCAGAGGCTCAAAACACCAGTTGTTCATAGACAGAGCAGTCCCCTGAGACTCAAGATCTAGACCGACCAATCTGAGCACACCCTGGATTGACCACAGGAAAGCCTACAACTCAATGCCACACACATGGACCTATGAATGCCTGGTGCTATACAAAGTCAACAGGACACTAAGGACCTTCCTCAAGAACTCAATG